TTCGACGTTTTTCCGCGTAACGGTAGAGCCGGCCGCGCGCGCGAGGTGGGAAAAGGAAGGGTGGCGGGGGGAAGAAAATGGGAGAAAAGGAACAAAGAAGAGGCGAATTACGCGTTGAAAATGCAAAGGAAATGGCTCAAGGACTCGGAGCAACGATCGTCTTTCTCAGGATCTGACAATACGATAATGCCTGACACGCGACGATGCTACCTTTCCGAAGGCACTCGAGCAGAACTAGCGTCCGTAACGAAGCGAAACACGATATCAACAACGTGGAATACCTCTTGGCTCGATTTCTTTCGTAAATCAGAAGAGGGCCGGATATTCTTACAGCTCGGTGTCGATATCAGATCCCTGGGGTAACGCTCAGCCGTCTTCTTCTTGCTCGTCCCCCGCCTCACCCCCGTCGCAGCCCCGTGGAAACTCGGCCCTGCCGGGGCAGGATTCACCCTCGAATTAAAAGAGCAGCCATTCTAACCACCCTCTTTTCCCTCTTCTGCTGCTCAGCAGCTCTCTTCCGTTCCTCCGGATCGTCCGGATCGTGGTGCGTACCAGGGCCCGAGAATAGGTCGAGGGTGAGAAAATGAGACGGTGGAAAAAATTGAATGGATTTTGGGAATCGATTGCGAGCAGACGTTTCCAAGCACTTTTCAACTAGGTCAGGATTGAGAATCTACTTGGCCTTGATGTTAACGCGCGAATACAATTTTATCTCGCTTCCTCTGTCCTCGGGTATTATCTGGCGTGTTTGCTCGCGATTACTTTTTAAAATTGCAATCGCGACGTTTTCCAAACACGCGCCACGCGTGATAGAATTCGCCATTACGCCGTCGGCGTATCGTTGCACGAAATTTACCCTCTTCGCGCCTTCTGCTTATCCTTGTTTACGACTCGTTTAAAAACTCCACGCCAACGGGGTTTTATACGAAACCGATTAACGGATTAGGATCGCATTAGCATTGGCGCGTCTAGCGTAGATTTTCTAGCAAATTCGCGTTACGAATAAACGCCGGTTCCCGCGTCACGTTACCCAGCCTGATAGAATCGATAGGGTCGTTATTCAAGCTCCGATTATACTCGCGCTAGCGGCTATACCTTATTAATTACGATTACATCGGTGTTTGCAAACGTAGAGTTGGCAATTTCGGTTAATGCGTTTCACCGTGACACAAATTAGCGTGGGCTAATCGCCGCCGATTTTCTTCTTTATCCCCGTCAATGGCCGCTCGTCCCCCTGTTTTATCCTCGCGCGATAGCATCTCGTTTACCCGCGTGGTTTTGCGTCTCGCGCAAAGACGAACCGTGGAATTATTTAACGAATCGGAATATTTCCGTTGCCATGGTATCGGAGGGATTTAACTCGGGGACGAAAGCGCGCGGACGATACGCGGTGTGGTCGGGGGCTGCTTTTTGACCCTCTGGTGATTCCAGCCATGTCCTTTCCCTATCGCGTATCCGCTTCCACCAAGCTCGCGGCTCTTTCTATTTTCCCCCTTTCCTCTCTTTCTGTTTTCCTACGGTGAAAAGCGGGTAGCAGCCGACAACCCTTTGTTACCGTGCCTTATCTTAATTGCTTTCACGGGTTCCCGTTTAGATCAATACACACCAGCGGCGTTCCACCGCCGCTCTGCTGTTGCCATACCTCCGCGCCACACTCGGCTCCGCTCCGCGAATCTAAATTATCCCAAGGGTTGTTTCGACCAGGGATTTTCGATTTTCTCTTCCACTCCCTTCCCACCCCTCCCTTCCCTTCCCTCTTTCTTTCGCCCCCGCGTACGCAGCCCTTGCATATTTTAGCAGCGACTTTGCCCCGATCTCCCGCGCCTGCCCCGTACCCGATTTATCGCCGATGTGTCGTCCAGACCCGCTCCGTTCGTTCCGCCGCGTCGTTTTCTCCGCTCCGCGGTGGACCATTACGAAAATACGATACTCGACGCGCGAACGGTAATCGGGTTAATCCGTTATGCGAAAAGAATCCGCGTAAATTGCGGCACGCTCGCGCCACGGCGTTTGATATACGAAGCAACGGTGTCTAGACGGTTTTCTAAACGGCGGAAACTTTGTCCTCGTCGTCATAACGCGTAACAGGACGCGAATTAGTCGGGCAATTAGCTCGATCTTCAACGGGGTGTCATATTAATGTAGTTCGCTCGCTAACGACCCTCGAAAACGGCGAACGTTACGTTGTCGCGGCTTTGTACGTTTGTATAGCCAGTGTTTCACCCGGACCCGTGTGACGAATCCGTGTGGCACGGCCGACGGGAAGCTAGACGAGTGCGAGAGAGGGATGGAAGCAGGAAGGCGCGCGTACCCGCGCGAGCGGGACGGAGAAAGAAGCAGGGTGTACAGAGTCGGGCAGACCGTCTGAGTCGTAAAATGTTAACTGCTAGTAAAACTGAGTTTACGCGCTTGTAAGGACCCCCGCAGGAGGTTAGCAGTCCCTGCGCCTCGCCGACTCGGCGGTACCAAGGGCCTCCCCTTACACCCCTTAATGGCCAGATTATTGCCCGTAAGCCACCCCCGATTACTTTCTTCCCGCTCGATACCCGAAAATAATTTCGCTCGAGCGCTTAATTTTGCACACCGCGGCGCGCCTTTCCGTTCCGCCTCTACCCTCTCGTACTCCCGTGTCGAAGCATCACCGACGCGCCAATTTTTACGATATCTTCTGCCCAATTTTATTTCCATTTTCCGCGCGTTTTTCCCACATTTCGAGTGCCCCGCGAGGTTAGATCGGCGAGAGAGATTGGAAAGTTCCGCTTCGAGGCATAACTTCCGTTCCTATGATAGACTCGGGCTGTGGGAAGCTATCTACTACCCTCCAAGCAAATAAACGAAAGTACCGTCGATGGCTGGCGATCTTTTAACTTTCAATGGAACAACTTCTTCCTTACGGCATCGCCGTAAACGTGCACGTTTTATTTCGTTGCCGCCGTGCGAACCACGCGGCCGAAGGTTTTTCATTTTTAATTACCCGCAGTAGCGTGAAAAGTTCCCGGCCGTTGTATGGGCAGCGAAGTTTCAACGATATCCTCCTGACTGCTGTTAACCTTCCCTTAAGTCGTTCTTGAAAATTGAACGCCACTCGTTCGCGAGATCTCGCGTTCGCGGACCTTCAACGAGGAAATTTCTTTCGCGATACTGCAACCCTTGCCCCCCTCGACCATCTCGCCGAGTCGGTAAAGGCTGAGCAAGTGGACGGTAAATCAAGTTCCTCGAGGACGAAGGAAAAGTTTGGGACTCGCCCCCTGTGGAAGAGAGATTCGTTAACGAATAGCGAGGCACCGATAGAGTTAGCGCGAATCGCAGTAACATCTTTCTCAAAGAAACGGGTCCCCGGTGATCGACTTTGTGTCTTCACCCTTTCAGTCGAGTCCCTGGAGGAATCTGAAACTTCAACCCCTTTGCCGGGACTGCAGCCCTAATTGTTACACTTCGTATAAATGCATTAGTTCCGCGCATTCGTTTCACGGTCCCACGAATCCCGGCGAACTTTCACACCCTTCTTCGCTTCTCTTCCGTCTCTGGAGACTTTTTTCCAGCAGCTAGCAGCCGCCTGCATTCAGCGGGAGAGAGCGAGAGAGAGGGATGAAAAAAGTCCTAACGAATTTAAATTACGGCTCAAATAACCACAAATGTGATTAATTCAATCTCAGCCAAGGGACACGCAGGGTGTGGGAACGTTATATCCGGCGACGGAGTGTGTCGATATTTCGGTTATTCGTTGCTTCACTATTGGCTTACTTATTTTTAACTTTTCCCTCTACTTATGTTGTCAACCCTTTCGCTGCTACGGGTGACTATAGTCACCGACCAGAAAAATTGAGCGAAAATTTAAGACAAGTGCGAACAACGTTTGCATTGCAAACTCTATTGCGACGGTCAGTTTTTCCTTTTCCTTTTTTTTTTTTTAAATTTTTCGTCAAAAGACCGAATGCTAAACACTGCACGATCGTAATGTTTCGACACTCGTCGTAGCGAAAGGGTTAAATACATAGGATGGATTACGTTTTACTGAAGTAACGTCTCATAATCAAAGTAACTATACGTGTTTCCTTTGCGGAAGCTTGAAAGGAAGTGTCTTCAATCGTTAGAATTTATTTGAATCGCCAAAAAATGCCAGATGTCGCTAGAAGCATCTAGCAACGTGTAGCGAGAGATTAGAACTGTGCAACAATTTTCTACACGGTTGTATAGAAAATGGTCTGTCTGGAGAGTTTCTTTCGAAACTGGCTACTTTTACGCCTTTGTCCCGACTAACTTTCTCCGCGCGACAAACAACCTACTCGTCAGTTTTTAAAATCGCGGGAAGAATAATCGGTTCCGTGGGGGAGTATATCTCGCGGCAGTTTGCGCGAGTTTCCCGGGCTGTCGTTCATCCCCTCGGCGTGCTTACTCGTGCGTGCACGTGTTGGTTTATGTATCAAGGGGGTGAAAACTGTCGAAAGATGCATCTTTCTGGAAGAACTGTCACAGAAGGCGGACAAGGGCGGAGAGAAGGGGCGAGAGAGAGGAAGCGCCTCGCTCTCTGTGGTTTTATGGGTCGTCCAGCTCCATCATGCGCCGTAAAAGTACAATAAAACCACTGTTACACCGTGGAAAACCACCCCGTTCTAAAGCACCGCGTGCATCGGCCCTTAAGACAAAGGGAACGAAAGGTTCGCGAGACCGGGATGAAGATACGAGGGAACATCGGAGTAAAATTGATTCTTTTATGATCGATAAACGCGCGACTTTTCTCGATTCTCGTTAGTACTCGATCACGAGTTTGCCCGTTCGTTCCCCGTTCTTTACCCCCCCGATTCGTGGAGAAAAATCGTCACGATAATAAAGCGAAGCGCGTAGACGCGTTTGCTCGGCAGCATTCTCGACGTTTATATCGGTTATCCGAAGATCGTGGTAATTGGACGAGATCCAACGCGATCCTCGCGCGTTTACCAGGATTCTGCTCGTTATATCGTGTTTAAAATTCCAACGAGCATTTTTTCTCTCTGTTTCAGTGCTATCGTTAAGGAATACCCAGGAAGAGGAACCACCCGATCCGCAGCTAATGAGGTTGGACAACATGTTGATCGCGGAGGGTGTTGCCGGACCGGAGAAGGGTGGCGGAGCGGGCGCTGCAGCCTCTGCCGCGGCGGCAGCGGCGGCTGGACCACCTGGACAACCTGACAACGCCATCGAACACTCGGACTACAGAGCCAAGCTTGCCCAAATTAGACAGATTTACCACCAGGAGCTGGAGAAATACGAACAGGTTCGTTCGCTCCGATCTCTCTGTTCCTCTGTCAACTTTTCCACGAGTTCCACGCGGGTTTCGTTTCCGTTTGGTTCGCGTAAATTCACGGGAGGGCAAAGTGTTTTCGAATGGGGAAGAGGTCGGCGTGCAGTTTTGCTGCAGGATTTTTTTCTACCCTCGAGCACGGCGATAAGAGACCGGTTAAGGGCGGCGGTGGAGAACGAGTCTCGTCTCTGTTCGACGATTTGCGTGCTAATGAACCGACTCGCTCGCGCTAAGTAAAATCTCGCGTGTCGGCTAAGCTAGCGGGTGTATCGCCAACTGCGGATCTCTTTAATGCCAGCAAATTCCCCGCGGGCTATTGTGTTTCGCGGTCGAAATTCCACGAAATTCTGCAACTTTTGCCACGGCTATCGTGCCTCTCGCGTTACTTTTACCGAACCTTTTATCTTCCGGATAGCTCGTCGATCGATCTCGAATCGGTCGAAATCGCCTGCGCGCTTATGCGAATTCGTCGTACGCGCGGCTGGTCGGATCAGCGAGATACCGACGAGTTTTTCATGGGCGTTATTCAAAATTCCCAGTTCTCGCTGTTTTCGCATGGCGGAGATTCGAGCGTTATTTGCCGGCGCGACGCCAGAGTGGCGAACGCCGTTCGTTGTAACGCATATTCAATTTCTGCTCGTTAATATGCGCGCGATTGAAACGAAAAGCATCGGGCGGCGTGCAACGCGCATGATCACTCCCATTCGCCACGACTCACTTATCAACGATAAAAGCATAATTCTTTTTAACGCCTCTCGTGTTTTCTCCCTTTTGCATACTTTGCAAATAACCGTGGCCCGTCATTCGTACCGGCTCGTGTATTCGCGCGTACATAAATACCAAATCACTCGCGCACGACTCGGTTGAAGGAGAGAGAAAGAGAGAGAGAGAGAGCGAGAGGGGGTGAACGGGGCAGGGAGAGGGAGAGAGCGTGCTTTAATTGCCACACCCGTTTCGACCCCATATTTCACCGTGTGTCAGCGGTCTTGATGTTTCCCCGCAGTAAATACGCACACCCTTGCTTTGAGGTCCACCGACGTGTATATGGATGCGTGTGGAATTCTTTGTAGACGCAACAATATGGACGCGGCTCGTGTCGAGATGTATGCGCTCGCGTGCACGCGCCGGTGCAACTGCAGTTACCAGGGGCAGTTGACGCTCTATCGATAAGCCTGGTCATTAACAAGTTTTAACCCCGTTCCGTTTTTTCCTTTTCTCTCTCTCTATATATATATGTATGTATGTATGTATGTACGTATATGTGCATATACATGCTCGTCTAAGGGTCAAACGGTATTCGAGCCGGTTGATTTCGCTTTACTTTCTTTGCCCGCCTTTCTCCCGACGTTTGACGACACACGGTTGATCTTTTATCTCTTTATCCGAGATTAAACTCGTTTCGTTTTTCGAGATAACGTCGAGCGAGATCCGGCACGGAATAAAATCCATTTCTGCGAGAATTCCTTTTTTACGCGGCTCTATTCGTAACGCCGGGGCCCGCGATTGTTATTTAAACGAACAACGCGCGCACACAGTTGCTCGGCTGGCCGCGTGTAGCTTTCGCGAGCTTGGATAATACAATGTTTCGAGTTCTGCCCCGGAATATATTGCCGCGCTTAAAAGTAACGTTATTACGCTTGATATCGTCGCGGGCAAAAGTTTTATCATAACCGAAATTTACTATTCAAACTCGCGGCCGAGTCACTGCATTAGGGTGAACGTCTGCCTGACTATGCAAAATGGCGTGACAAGTACGAGAATAGAACCGCATCGAGTTTTACGAGATCGCGTGATCACGGCCAACAAACATCGTCTGGCATGAATCTTGCTCGGTGCATGCCCTCCTTTATTTCCCCGATTTTTACTACAGATTTTAACCTTTTCGCCGGCAACTCTGCCACCCTATCCCTTCGCGGTTCACGCGAACAGCGCGGCAACCCCTGTCTACGCTGCAACGCGGAGCGGAACGCTCGTCTTTCTCTCGCGAATCGCGAGTTCCGCTGCGATTTTCACCCCCCTCTCGTGACCGTGACTCGGGGCAATGAGGATGCCGCGATGGCGGCGATTCGTTCGCGAAAACTGCCGTAAACGGTAAATTCGATTACGTAAGAAAGGGGCTGTCGTATATTGCGGTAACCGCAGAACAACCGCGGCAGACGTAACCGCGACCAGGTATATTTAGCAGCGCGCAGGTTGGAATTTCGATAACGCTAGCGAGCCAAAAGCCTCTCGGTGCTATATCCCCGGAACACATGCGAGCGTATTAATAGAGGGAACCGAAGTTAAATTACAGCCACCATGAGAAATCTCATTTTCCGCCGAGACGAATTAACGACCGTCGTCATCGAGACACTTGTTGGCTTTGCCGTTTCGCCGGCTGGATATCGACGTCTTCGGATTCTATAACCCAAAACTGTCCATCGCGTCTCGTTCGATACACCGGGTCTGCGCGATTATACCGCCGTTCGCGACTGCATTCGTCACCGTTTGTCGAGAATACGCGCCTCGCAAGTCACTTTTTCGCCTCGAACCACGACCTCCTACCGATGCTTCCTAACGACGAATCGTTCCATCTCGAGGAACCTGTACGAGGAACGACAGGATAGGCCGCGACATAGCGTCTGGCGTTGCGCGACCCGTTGGGCGAAATATTATTTTCGTTTGGTGGATAATTTAAAAATTGGAGAGAACACCGATACGCAGAGAAGGGCATAATTCTCTGCGGGTTTTCCATCCAATCCACCTACTCGAGATCGTCCCTCGCCCCTCGTGCTGGGCTAGCAGCGAGGCAGGAGCGAAGCTGATCCACCCCACCGATGCTCGTGCAAAGAGAGGAGAGCAGAAAGGAAGAAGAGAACGAAGAGGAACGGGGTGGATAGAAGAAAGACGAGGAGAGTGCCGGGGTATGGCGGCAGAGTGGAATCCATTTCGAAATTGCGAGCCACCCTGTCCGACTTCTCCCCTGCCAACCTCTTCCTTTCCTCCTAGCGCCTTCCCTCAGGAAAATCCACCCTCCTCCGGCCCCCTTCACCCCCCTTATCTCTATCCCTTTCTCTCCTCCACTCGCGTCCTTTCTTCGCTCCCTCCAGAAGGTAGCGTGCTCGTCTCGAATACTGATATCGGGCAAAGTCCTTTTTCCCTTAAACCGAGCAGCCACCAGGAATAATGCATTATACGTACGCGTCTTTCTTCTCGCTTTTTTCTCCCTCTCCATCGTCGCCCTTCCTCTTACCTTCTCCGCTTCTACACCCTACTCCTTCGCAACCTTTCCATCGGTTTGCTTTCGCGGTTTCGTTCGTGCCTCGAGTCCTCGGCCATCCTCGGACTCCCGATTCGCCGAGAGACCAGCGCCAAAGACTCTGCGACCTCTCTTTCACCACCCTTTTTCACCCTTTCCTCCTTTCGCGTGCCCAAAGAAGCCGAACCTAGCGCCCTCCTCGTCGACGATTTTCACTTTCGACAACGAAACGTACATGTGCTTTTTGCCCCGAAGCCCCGATCCAGACGGTTGATTAAATTACGGTTAACGGAGGGAACGCGAAGCGAAAGATGGCAGTGACAAGGTGGATCTCGATTTTGTTCCAGGCGTGCAACGAGTTCACCACCCACGTGATGAATTTACTGAGGGAACAAAGTCGTACCAGGCCAATCACGCCGAAGGAGATCGAGAGGATGGTGCAGATTATTCACAAGAAGTTCTCCAGCATCCAGATGCAGCTTAAACAGTCCACCTGCGAGGCCGTGATGATTCTGAGGAGTCGATTCCTCGACGCGAGGTGAGTATACACGATTTAAGATCGTTTCTATGGTTCTCTATCGGATGGATAGGCGAAAGGGCAGAGCGGCGTAGATGCGAGAGGGAAATAAATTGCCTTTGTCACAGGCGTAAGCGACGGAACTTCAGCAAACAAGCCTCGGAAATTCTGAACGAATACTTTTATTCGCACCTCAGTAATCCGTATCCGAGCGAGGAGGCCAAGGAAGAACTCGCACGAAAATGTGGAATCACCGTGAGTCAGGTAAAGTGGAACAAAATATTTTCCGTCGTTTCCTCGCGGTCGGATTAAGCGACTAAATTCGCGCATTCTGTTATACTATTGGCGAATTTTTTTTTTCCGCCATGTATATCGAATATCTCGACGCGGGGTGGAAAATTACCTGTCGAAAATGCCGGTCGTCGATCGAACGAATATTAGCGGAATGACGGATTATTCGAAGATTTTCGCGAAATGTCGAAATTTCTTAGCGACCTTGCACCGCTGTTTGTCGTGCTTGTAGGTTTCCAATTGGTTCGGCAACAAGAGGATACGCTACAAGAAAAACATAGGTAAAGCACAGGAGGAGGCGAACTTGTACGCAGCCAAAAAGGCAGCTGGTAAGTTCCGTCCTTCGCAAATGAGCGACGGGTGTTCCTTGAAGAGTTCGTTTCGATAGTTTGCTCGTATTAAGGATAAAGATGAAGGAAAATTTCTATCGAGTCAAAATTTGTATCGAAATTTTTGTCGAAATTTTTCATCGAGTCGAAAGACTCGCTGTTCCTTTGCCAATTAAAATTCATACCCGCGGAGCGTTGCTGAGAGAAGGTCGCGGAAAATCGGTCGAGTGCAAGCTCCCTTTACGGACGATAGGTTGTTTAACGAAATTTCCAGTTAGGATGCTTCTTGGCACCTATTCCGACTTGGTCATCGCGATCGTTTCCACGTCGAATACGAAATTAGGATGAGGAAGAAATTACGCGGTATGGCGGTTTCTCATTATCGTAAATCATCGTACGACCGAGTAACTGCTCATTGTTCGGCTTGGCCGTGCCACTGTTATTGCGACTGACGAATAAATCTCTCCGAGGGAAAGGAAATTATCGATTCCAGTCTCTGCGGCCATTTTTATGGCACGTTCAAAGAATTCGTCGAAACTGGAAACCGGTGCTCGATACTCTGGTATATTATCCGATCGTCCGGACTTGTCCCCTTTCGAGACGTGAGACGCGAGACTGGAGGAGGATTCGCACCGATAAGATGACACGTCATCCCGGTTCCTTCGTATTTACCTTTTCGCATTCTCGAGGAAATTAGAAGAAAAATTCCGGGGCTGTTTCCTCTGAAAATTCCTCGCATTCGCACAACTTGCTGGTCGCAATTACGCGTACTTCTCTTAACTACCCAGGCGTCTCTTTATTTTAGAGGGCAAGGCGAGATATTTTTAACTTACCAATTATACGGAGAAAGAGGGAACGAAAGACGAGAGGAGAGTAGGTAGGAGAATACGCGAGTGCGGGAGGGCGATGAGATGCCGGCGTTCTCGCCTTTCTTTCGACGCCCTGCGCCTGTTTGTCTTTCCTCAGCCACGCTCCCGGTAAACGGGCCCGCGCGCGCAGTCTTCTCGTAATTAAAGAAACGGAATTCCAGTGATACTGGCGCCGACTCTGCGGAACCGGTACTCCGTCTCGGACAGCGCGCACGTTTTCGCGTTCCAAAGTCAAAATTTCCTGCTCTTTACCGTGCCACACGTAACAACCGCTAGTTGTCCAGGCTGCTTTACGCCCGTTCGAAAATCCATACCGTTACGTGCACCTCGAGCAACGAAATTTCATCGACTGATTCGCTTTCACCCGATAATACGTTCACTGTGAAATGTCAAAAGGCAATTTAACGATACATTTGTCGTGCTGATTAATCGGTGGCGTCTGCGCGTAAATTTGCTCTCGGGGAATTGTTGGGAAAAATTGGATAACTCGGGGTCGCGCAGCTTATTATAGCGAGGAAATACGAAAAGTCGAGGGGTAGGGAAATTTGAAATTCTTCGGAATTCTCGCTACGATTTTGCGAGCACCTGCAAAACTCTGCCCGTCCATGCGAATACGCTTCGGAGATTTTCCAGGCCAAGTGTCACCGCGTTATTCGTAGGATGCGCGCACCATAGATCATGGTGTTTTCAACGCCCACAGCCACGGGTACGCACACGGACAGCGGTGCACATGGGAACACGCCGACTGAGTTATTTTCTGACCATTGCCTCTTGTCCTCCCCACACGAAGCACACTCGCGTACAGTTTGGTGCACCGCGGATACGCGCCTGGATCTACGCGCGTATCCGTGTACACAGCAGCGTGTACGTGCACGCTGATTCTGGAGTTGACAAACGTCAAAGATATATTTAGAGAAGGATCGGCAATCCCCGAAGGCGCGGTCGATGGTACCGGGGACGAAGTTGACGAGCGTCGTTGTTTCGACGAGTAACGTTTCGGCGGAATTGCGATTTCCGAGTAGCGACCGTCTGTACGTGCACCGTTAAAATGCTTCGAAGAGGACAACGTCGTCGAAGAGCAAACTCTCGGGGACAGAGGGTGAAGATATTTCGTATGTACGGGTTCCCGTGGGTTACAGGCAGCGGTAATTTATTTCGTTACGCGCGTAATTCCGTGGCTCTTCTTCCACCTGGAGAAAACGTCTGGGTCTGGAATTCCGATGAAATCTAATTTTTGAATCACCCTGTGACTACGGGGGATACATAAACGATAGGTCGGCGGCGTGGTGTACTCGCGTGCATTGGAACGACGTTGCGACACACGCGCGAATCCTCGTCTAGGAATACGAACGCAGACGCTTACCTATACCGGGTGGCTCGAAAGCGGTGGTGGTCGACGCGAGAGCCACTCGATCAATACGCCACGTTGCCTCCTGCGCCTCCACCCCCAGGAACGTCGCTCTACCCCTGTCGCCCTCACTCCTCTCGCTTACCAGCCAGCTAGCCCTCTCTCCTCACCCCTCTTCCTTCTGCTCGATGTGCTGCTCGCTCCCACCCTTTGAAAAAGGAACGATGGAGGAAACATTCTCTCTCTCTCTCTCTCTCTCTCTCTCTCTCCTCTCTCTGTTCCCCGGACGAGAACTCCGAAGGAAATACTCCGCAGCTCAGCAGGATTTTTCCAGCCAGGAAATAACAAATATACACTCGGAGGAGAAACGAGCAGATTTTAATGCGAAATTCATGGGACATCGCGAGCGATTCGGTATCGAGGGTCACGCCGGAGGAACGAGACTCGCGTGGGCACGCGGTATCCCGCTTGGATCCACAGACGTTTATTCCACGAAATCAACCCCCGAATTTTTGTTTCCCTCGCCGGGCACGTTTGCCCGGGCCACCACGCGTTTTTCCCCTCGGCCTTTCCTCCTCCACGAAGACGGTCGCCGTTTCGCGGCGATTCGAATTCTATTTAAACGCGCCCGATTCGTATCGCGAGTTATTCCCTCGTTCGCCATTGCGGATCGTTGGCAGCAGATTAAGCCTCGGTGACCCTTCGCTGCGAATCGTAGACCCCGGCCCGCTTTTCCAGCCAGGTTATAGCCGATGA